TCTGAATCCATTGAAACAGTACACATCGCCTCGCTAAAGGTAAAAGTTTACATAACAAAAGCATTTGTACAGACGACACAGAAGCCCTTCTATAGATGGACCCAGAGTGAACAGCACAGGGTTCAGTGGGATCGTCTGGTGAAAGACTGAGCGAAGCTCCATAGCAAAAGTTTTCCAAAATCTAGTAATTAAAGGACATATGCAATGGTAGTAGGTCCCTACATCTGTATTGCACTTTACACAAAGAGGAGAAATCTGAGGATGAATTTTATTTAGAAACTCTGGTGTACGCTGCAGTCTATGTACGATTCTGTAACGGCTTTCCTGGAGTCTGTTACAGGAAGACATTTTCTTGGCAGATCTAAAAGTTTTGGACCATGCTTCTGCACTAAGCTGAACTTCAAGGTCGGTTTCCCACTGAACCCTGGCCTTATCAGTGGTTACAAAATTCAGATACAATCATTTCCCATAACAAAGAGAGAGAAATTTCTTTTTTGTGATTTTTTCCTCATTAAATTTAAGGAGAAAGCTTTCATTAGGATTCAAAGCAGGTTGATTGGCTCAAAATTTAAGGGGATTTATAAAATGTCTTACTTGCAGGAACCCAAAGAAGTGTTTCTGTGGGTCGCTGGGTAGCGCATTCTGAAGCAGATGCCCTTGTCAAGGCACGACAAGAAGCATTAAATCCCAGTCGTTTCTCACGTAGGAAAAATCCTGGTGTATAAAGATCCGCTGTCCGTCGTAGTGAAGTTCTGGGGCCGCTCTCACTGCTGCCATGATCCGCTGTTTGTCTCTGGAGTTGTGGAGCATAATAACCACCGGGCTGGGGTGAGCACCCCGCGGGCCAAGGCCCTGGTGTGCACGGTCAATATGAATGCACGCTTTACCCGTGGAGCTGTTCCCCAGTCCAAGCATAGCAGGCAGCCAGGCTTCAAAAAACTGAATAGGACTCTCACCCGCCGCGCTTTCTTTCAGATTAATAATGCGGATGTTGTCACGCCTGCTGCAGTTCTCTAAATCATCCAAGCTTTTTGCCATGATCTCAATCTTCTCCTCAGCTTCAGCCAGTCTTCCCGCGAGGTCAGTCACCCCGTCTTCCACATCTGAGATTCTCTGCTCTGCCTCCGTGACGTGTTTGGAGACGTTTTCCAGCGAGGACGAAATTTTCTTTAGTGTCCCAGACAGTGTAGACAGTTTTAGGTCAATTACCTTACTGATGCTATTAGTCACTAGGGCTGCCACGATTATGGCGACTATCAAAATTGTCGACGACTAATTTAATAGTCGACGCATCATTTGAAGCTTTGTAAGATCCCAAAAGACGCAGGAACAAGTAATAGGATTTAAGAGTGTAATAATGGACTGAAACAGAAGATGGCAGCACTGCGTGTACAAGGAGGCCAGCTGCCGTTAAACCCCGAAGAAGATGAAGCTGTGTCCGGTATCGTAGCTGTGTCCAAATTCAGGAACCACATCCTCCTGTGCCGCATTTGTAGGCTTATTACGTTACAGCAACATGACAAAGGCTGTCCAAATTCGAAGACTCTGACAAATACGGCCGACAAATGTGCCCTTCATTTGCCCAGATTTGAAAGATGGGTCGGGTGTGTCCTTCGTGGCCCAACCTATCCCAGAATTCAGTTTCCAACAATGGCGGTCCCTCCTTAGTTTTCATATTTCTTTTATTATTCTTTCTGGGTCACAAAATAAACGTTTAACATATTTTCAGGCGAGAATGTAGCTGTGTAAACCTCAAATATCTGCTCAGTTTATCAAGACACCACATATTTTCAAAAGCGCTCCGACGTTTTCGGAGACGTCTGTTACCCACTAGCTCGATAGCTAGCCGGGGGCTAGGCTCACTAGAGCCGTGAGAACACCGGACTCCCAGCAAATCGTTTTCAAACCCACCGCCATCTTTCGCTACTCAGGTTAAACATGATTTATAAGTCACTTAGATAACTTAAAAATGTTATTGTTTGGCTTTTTTCAGTGTTTTATTTGTTCCTGAGTAAATCGGTTTGGCTGAGATCAAAGTTATTAGGTTTGATTATGCTCGAGAATTTACTTCGGTGTCCTGTTATATTTTATATATTGTCTTTATTTTTAGTTAGCACATACCTTAAACACTTACAGCTGTAAGATAATGATAGTTATATAAGAGCAGATGCTGCTGGTGCAATAAGCTGTACGTTTTACGTCCAATGGATGATGATCTAATTAGTTGACTAATCGTAAAAATAATCGGTGACTAGTCGACTATCAAAATAATCGTTTGTGGCAGCCCTATTAGTCACCTGACATATGAGAGCTGCAGTGTCCAGGACTGGTCGCCTGTTGCTACTAGCATGTCAGTTTGACTAGCACTGGTCATCATGGCGGCCGTCGTCTTTCGAGTCTATATCTTTGTCTGTTTCGACATTACTTGTCCGAAAAGCTGATTTAGGACGGTTGCGTATTCCCAAAGCCCTCAGTCAGTAGTTTACATAGAAATATAGACAGTAGCACGCATTGCACTGTAATAAATACAGGCGGGAAGAGGAGCACAGTGAAAGCACGTCGTCTAGACCAGTGTTTCCCAACCACTGTGCCGCGGCACATAGGTGTGCCGTGAGAGATCATCAGGTGTGCCGTGGGAAATTATTCAGTTTTAATTAATTGGTCCAAAAATACAATTGAATAATTACTACAAGCAATACAATCATAGTTGGGCATCTGTGGTTTCAATCCAGTGACTGGTAGAGTAATTACTCTTTCGTGGCAGTGGGTGGCAGTGGGTAGCACAATATCACCTTGTTAAGTTAAGACAATAGAATTAGTGATGTGCGGTATGTGGCAGCTGCAAGACGTACAACAAAGATGGATAAATATTTGAAAAGAAAAACTGCGGACTCCGAACTGGGCCTTGGACAAAATTTTATTCCAGGGGAGCCTAGTATGAGCGGTGGTCAAAAGAAAGCAAAAACGGTGAGCAGTACAGCGGAAGTTATCTTTCTTTTGGATTTACTTTCACTGGAGATCCAACTGCACTGACTCTGCTATGTTCTGTGTGTCGAGAAAAGCTTTCAAACAGTGCCAAGCTTAAACGTCATCTTCATACAAAACATCCCTCACTTCAAAACAAGAACACAGACTATTTTGTTCGCCTGCGTCAACACGCTGAGAAGCAGGTAACTTTAATGCGAAAAAACACAAAGGTGTCTAAAAGAGCTCTCAAAGCTAGCTACTTAGTAGCTGAATTTATAGCCAAATCCAAAAAACCACACACCGTAGCAGAGACATTAGTACTACCTGCCTGCAATGCCTCTGTGAATGAGATGCTGGGCCCTGATGTAGTTAAAGAAATAGGCAGAGTCCTGCTCTCAAATAACACAACTGCCAGACGCATCGATGACATGTCTGCAGACATTGAAAGTGTGGTTTTGGAGAAGATATGCTTCAGTGGGAAGTTTGCATTGCCACTTGATGAGTCTACGGACATCAGTGGACATTCCCAACTCTTGGCCAATGTGCGTTTTGTGGATGGAGACTCCATCAGAGAAAACTTTCTATTTTGCAAGGTCTGCCAGAAAAAACAACAGGAGAGGAAATTTTTCAGGTTGCATCCGAATATCTTGAACAAGGACGACTTAAGTGAGAAAACTGCACCTGTCTGCACTGATAGAGCAGCAGCCATGGTCGGGCGCACCAAAGGTTTGCAGAGTGAAAGCGATACACCAAGATGTTATTGTTTTTCTGCACCGCGAGGCGCTCGTTTCCAAGACTTTACCATTCGCACGACATCATCCAACACAGGAGCTAGGTCTGCTGGTAAACTTCGTCAAAACTTCATTGAATTTGGGTCTTCATTTCCTGCCAGAATATCATCTTTGTGTTCATCTAGACCAGGTTTCACACTGAGTATAAACAAACTGAGAGAATAACTTGCCATTATATGAACTGTATTAGGCTACACTGTGTCATTTTGGAACAAGTTTGGTTGGTGGAGTGCCACAGGATATTTTTAATCTATAAAATGTGCCCTGACTCAAAAAAGGTTGAAAACACTGTTCTAGCCAACCATCTTCACCGGAAGTCCCCACAGATATTCTCTTCTTTTCTATATCAAACAAATATGTAGGACTGCCTTTTTTACAGTATGACACAAAGTGAGGCGACTGTTGTTCTGATTTGGTGCTGTTTAAATAAAATTGAATTGAATTGTACTCAATGTCTTCATAGAGCAGACGTGCTGAAACCCCTCGCCCCACACACACACACACACACACACACACACACACACTCAAAGGGTGAGTGATGGCAGTTGTCAAGCTGTGATTGGAAAAGTGGGCTATGTCTGAAATGACACATTACAGCGCTCGACAGCGACGTGGTGTCCTGAATGTTTCTCATCTACTGAGTCACCTGGAAGGATATTACACCTGAACACACACACACACACACACACACACACACACACAGTGGTTAATGGGTTTTCCATGGGACTGACATCCCATCACATTATACAGTCAGAGCAGGAGGACTCCCTCACACATCATCTGTCCCTCCTTCAGGCTGAGGGCAGCCAGCCTCTCTCAGACCAGCAGCTGGACCAGAACCACAGAACAGAACCAGTGAGAACTGTTCTGAGACGGCCGCTGTGATTGGTTCTGCTGTTTCGAATGATAACTGTAAGGCAGGCTATGATTTGCGAAGCGCTGTCATTTAGATGCAGCAGAGTCATTTTTGGAGCAGGTGGGCGCAGTAAACGTGGTGTTGCTGGTTATGATTTGATTACAGTTAATCATGGAAAGTTTATTCAACAGTGATATTTACTGTGCCATAGATACATGATGCATACATGGTATCAGAGATCTTGTTAGGTGCTGGCTACCACTGGTTCCTGTGGATGCTCCAGCGTGAGGCGATGGTGGGCGTCTGCAGCAGCACCGCGAGGACTGAGGCTGGCTGGGATCAGCACACAGTAGCTAACGGTCCACTCTGTGCTTCGCGGTTTTCAGGCACTGCGACCAGGAAACCAGAACCGGAGCAGGAGAAACAATCGGACCACACGGTGAAGATCGCCGGCTCCATCGCCGGCATCCTGCTGTTCATCATTATCTTCCTGGGAGTCATCCTGCTGATGAAGAAACGGTAAGGAAATCACAAACACGGAAACAAGGCAGCCTGCAACTTTAGGACGCTGGGCTTTAAGAGTCCGTCGTAGTTTCTCACTGCTCTGGTTTTTACAGTTTACTGAGTGTAAGACTGAATTAGAGGATTCACTCTGGTCCCTGCTTCTCAATGTGTTTGTTTAACAGCTGAAATCCATTTCACTTGATTTTACTATGAGAATGGTGAGTTTAATGACCATTAATGACCTGCTGTGGACCTTAATGGCAAAGATACTTGCAGCTGATTTAGTTCAATATATCAGTAATAACTTGGTTGATAATGACACTAGCTACTGATGGGTGCGTTGTTACATTTTGAAACGTTATTTAGTACTAACGTTTCTGTGAGCTAGCCTTACGATTCAGAGGAGATGAAAACCAGACCTGAACCGACCGGCTGAGGAAGCTTATTGATAAAACGAGCAGGTCCACAGGTGCCCCTGAGTCCAGCAGCACTGGTGATGTCAGTGACATTTAACGAACTGCAGCTCGATTAGAGAAAGTCTGATCATAGCTAAAAGGCTTTGTGACCAGAGTAAATGTGTCAGTTTAATCTGAGGCCGATAATAACACATCAAAGAAGAGATGTTGGCATCACATAAACTGCAGTTCAAAGAATGGTCAGAGGGAACATCCAGGTATCGTCAGCAAAGAGCACGCTGTGGACTGTCAGCTTTCTTATCTACCTGTTAGATCACAGGAAGCTGTTCCCAGCGTGGCTCACAGTGATGACGGAGAAACCTTCAGATGTGTGGTGATGAAGCTCTGACCCTGACATACAGGATGAACCAGTGCTGCTCTCACCATGTTTGTGAAGCTGTAGTTACCTGTTCAGCCTGCTGACGGCTCCACTAAGGAGCTCCATCATTACACCACCTGTCATATCCAATCACCTGCTGGGTGCTGAGTCAGCATTTGCTCTGCGAACCTCTAAAGCAGAATTACACAATCTATTAAACAAATATTACACAATGTTACAAACTCTTCTCCTCACAGACAGACACACACACACACAC